GCACCGGTCGGTCGTTCGCCGAAAGCGTCCGAAACGTCGAGATCATAATGATCGACGCTTCACAGACTTTTCATCGGATAGCTTCGCGCCCGATCGGAACGAAGATCGAAGATCACTTCCCGAACGTCAAGGCGTGCTTGGAACGGTCGGTCGTCGTCGGCGACGTCGAGAAACGGAGCTGGAGGGAAGGACACGACGGAATAGTGAACAGTTACCGACGGTTCAGTCTGGACGACGTGGCGCAAACCTTCATGGAGGACGCCCTGGGGTACGCGGACGACGTGGTGGCGATGCAGAAGAGATCGGTAGAGCGAAGCGCCGTGAAGGCCGTGCTGCTATTCGTGGACGGGAAATCTCCGTTCGCGAAACTCGCCGAACTCAAGCGGAGGAGAGATCACAGGAACGGGAGTTTCCGAAACGGTCTCCGAAAAGTCGGTCACCTGAACGACGATGCCCTCAGGACGGCCGTCGAAAAAAGGAACACCGTGCTCGAGGAGACGGAAGGGACTTTCGTCGGTCTCGTCGAATCCTTCGTGCGCTCGAACAGGAACAAGAGCATGACGATCGGACACCTGCGATCGGCGTTGCTCGAGAGCAGGTGGCACGACCGACCGTACGCAGCGTACGTGATCACCGGCGCCGGCTTCGACGAGTCCGCCGAACGCGACTGGTTCCGACTCATCGGGCCCGAGTCCGCGATTCCCTGGTGCACGGAGTTCGAGAATCTGCTTCCCGAACGGAGTCTGTATTCGGAGTCGGACATACTGTTCGGCGTGGTGCACGACCTGCTCAAGTTCGGCAGCAACGTGCCTTCGTCCAACATCCTCATGGAGACGTGCGAAAGCGACTGCATAGTCACGCTGACCGCCATGCAATCGGACGCCCTCCTGGTTCGCAAGCGAAACGAGAGGATGTACCGGATAGGAAGATGGTCGCGGGAGAAGCTCGACAGTCCGTTTGGTTGCCTCAACACCCTGATCGCGGCCGCCTTCCTGGGTTCCGATTTTCACGGACACGTCGCCGGCGTCGGACAGAAGACGCAGGAGGACATATTCGCCAAAGGTTACGTGTTCCCTTTCGTCGACCTTGAAGAAGTCGACGACTTCCAACCCGTCGACCTGACGCGCGACTCGGACGAAGATGCCGTCGCCGAGTGGCACGCCGATCTCTCGAGTCGTCCGAACATATTTTGTTTCAGGTACGGAGATTCTCTTGTTCCGTTCAGATACGCCGAGGATAAATTGAAAAGTTACTCCCAAGACCTGATCTCTATGGCTTCCAAGTCCTGGCGTCTGAGGGTTGCGCGGGGTCTCGCCGACG